TATCATGATCACCATCACCACCACCACCATCACCACCATCTATCTACTTTGCTCTGAATTTACATGGCAGAGAACGCACTGATTTTAGTGAATTAATAAAATTTCATTTTAGTTTTTGAAAAATGTGACTCATTTCCCAGGCCACACTGGCAGCACTCCTAGCACTGTGGCAAGCCTTCCCTGAAAGCTGGTCCCAGCTCTCCCCAGAGTCCACAGCTCCTCCTACATCACTCACAGCCCTCTGGGCTGTGTGCAGTGGAGCAGAACAGCTCAAATGAGGTTCATACATTAGGGAGAAAGCAAGGGCTGCAGAGGCAATGAAGAAGCCTGCTGATGCCTGCCCATCCCCACCCCTTTCTCAACACACAGGGGACCTGCTAACCCAAAATCACCATCCATCACTCCAATGCCTGTCACAACACATGGTCAGTCAGGCACCTGCCTGGTAGCTGGGTGACCTTGGGTAAACCTCTTAACCTCTTCAAGCTCCATTTATTAATCTATAAGTAAGGGATAATGTGACTTTCAGGGATGCTGTGTGAATCACTTTCATGAGCGTGAATGGGGCTGACCAAGGCAAAGGGCTTAATAACAAAAAACAAAAAAAAGCCATTGCTGTAGAGTTGATTCTGACTCATAGCAACCCTATAGGACAGAGTAGAACTGCCCCCATAGGGTTTCCAAGGAACGGCTGGTGGATTCGAACTGCCTATCTTTTGGTTAGCAACCGAGCTCTTAACCACTGCACCACCAAGGCTCCAAAGGGCCTAACAGAGCTTAATAAAGACTTGGAAGATGGATGGATGGATGGATGGATGGACTGGGGTATGTCTCTTGCCTTGCAGATTCTAAAACATTTCCATATACTGATCCTTATGACAACCCTGCGATGTAGGCAGGGAAGGGACAATTCCCTCACAAAGAAACTGTCCCAAATCCAGGGCGGGCATGGGGGTGGTGGTGGGGGTAATTTTTTATCACAGAAAAGTGTAGCATATCCTGATTAATACCACATTGCAAAGCTGCAGATGTGTGTCCTTGTGTTAGGTCAGTATATCTTGAATGAATAATGTATGCACAGTTTCTAAAGAAGTTCTCATAAATCACTAACGTTAACTTGAATTATCTTTATGATAAAACCTAAGTATGTGCTAATATAAACTAAATATAAACAATTTTTTTTTTTTTTTTTACAAATTCAATATAAATAAACCCACAGAGCTTGTAACATTCAGGCCACAAGACTGATCCGATCAGGCTGACACTGTGGTGAGCGGATTCCCATGATGTGCTGCGCAGCCTCTTGGCCCTCCCTTCTCCCTCAGCACCAGTCCCGGGACTCTTGTCCCCTTGTCAAGTTCAAGTGTCATGTGGCCCTCACATGAGGTCTGCATCTGCACCTTCCTCCCTTCCTGTGTTCTGGAGGTGTGCAGGACTGAAGCCCACCAGCCTCCGTCCCCACCCAGTCGCACCCAGCCCCATTCCTGAGGTGGCCTGGCTATCACACAATCAGAGAATAGGAAAGAGAGACGTGGGCTTGCTCATGGTGGTTGAAACAAGCTGTCTCCAAAAGTGCTCTATAACCGTAGGGGACAGGAGCAGGTGGAGAAGGGCAAAGACTTCCGGTTTAGCAAGGGGAGGAGAGCACCCCCAGACACCTCCAGACACGTGGAACAAGAGACAATTTTCTCTTGAGTCCAGAAGGGCTTGGTCCCAGACTCACTGGAGCTGGCAGCAGGTGAGGTGCCAGCTGAGGGTGAGAATATCAAAAGTTAGAACACAACCCAGTCACCTTCCAAGTACCTGCCCCCACAGCTCAGCCAGGATCCAGTTCACTAAAGGGGCCCCTGACAACCTCCTGCTTAAGGGAAAACCTCACAGAATGCTTTCACTGCGCAAAGAACCCACATGCTCCCCACTGGATTAACAAGGGTCATGAGGTGGTGAAGACTCACTTTGTACTTAAGTGGGATTGTCTGCTGTGTCCGTCTGCTGATGGACGAAACCTCACTGCCTGCTCCCCCCACTCAGGGCCCCCTTTGTTTTTGCAGCCTTCCAATCCGTCTTATTCATTTCTACGTTTGCTTTACCTGGGTCCAACTTGGCTGTCTGTGTGTGCGTGTGTGCGTGTGTGTGTGCGTGGCAGGGGGAGCGGGAGTGTACTTGTGTGTCCTCGATGCCAGGTGTGGAAGCCTCAGCCCACAGGACTGAAAACTCAGCCTTGGCCTTTGGACATCCCTTTCCCCCACTGGGTGACTGTTCAGGGCTCCAGACAGGTAAGCGAGAGGTAAGGCTGGCGTGTTCTCTGCTATGCCCGTCCACACTCAGAACACAAGGTGAGCAAGTTTTCCAAGAGAGAGACATCCATTGTGAGTCTGGATTCCCCGCCTGGGAGGCCAGGGATAAGCCTTCAGATGTCTGAGATGAGGTGGGACTGAGGGACAGGGAGCCGAACGAGCTGCTGAAAACCATTCTGGGTAATTCCCCTTCATTGCCCTGCAGAAAGATGATAGTGGTTTGATCTAGTTTGCGTGCATTAGCAACCCCCTGCTGTGAAAAAAGGCTGCGGCTGTGACTGACAGGAAGAAAGGAAGCCACTGGTGCATGTCCTGACCCCCTCGGGGCTGTGGGCATGCGTGTCTGCGCATAACCAAGTGCATCTCCACCAAGGCTTCCTGTCACAATGTTGAGATTGCTTCTTATCGCTGGTTGCCCCCCTGCAGGTCTCTTGGGTCAGAATGCAACCCAGCTTGTCAGCTCTGCGGATGTAAAAGGCTCAATGGCACAGAAACCACACAAAGGGGGCGGTGGCCGGAAAGTCGTCTCAACCCAAATGCTGACTAGAAGCTGAGTACCAGCCTGGAGCTGCCAGTGAAGCCCTCTGGCCGGCCCAGTGACTGGTGGAGGACCTCCGGGGGCCCCAAGGCAGCGCAAGGGGCTCTGGGGGATGTCCCCACCTGGGCTCCCCACCTGGGCTCCCTGCAGACAGGGAGCTGGCTTCTTCCATGTTCACTCATCTCCTGCCTGGGTTTCTGTCTCTGACATTCTTTTTAGAAGATGCAGGCTTTTTAAAAGATGTCCACTAAAAGACAGTATCTAAAAGGAACCAGAAAAGTCTTCCTTTGCAAAACTGATGACGGAAGTTTTGCTGCCAAGGGCTTGCCTGAGCGAGGGGGCTGTGGAGAGTCCTAGGGTGGGGAGCGTGGGGGTGGAAAGGTGCTAGGACCGCAGGGCTGAAGGGGAGGGATCGGGGGAGCGGGAGAGGGCATCAGGGGTGTCTCCCATGCCTGGAGCTCACACACTCATGGGCACGCACACACACACGCAGTTCCTGTGTTCCCACTACACACACGCGCACAGTCATGTTTTCACTCCCATGTTCCCGCTACATCACACACACCCTCCAGCCTTTGCCAAGAACCTGCCCAGACACAACCCACCAAGGTTAACTGGAGGAGAGTCTGTTCTCTGTTCCCAGCCAAAATCTGTCCGGGAAACCCGCAGATCTGCAGTTCCCAAAACAGAATTCTCAAAGGATGAGGGTGGGAATACAGGAAGCCAAGAGCAGAGACCACATCTGATCCTTCAGGAACACTCCTCACCAGTGTCACACGTCTTCAGGATGGGACACCCAAAGGTTGAACACGACTGGAATTCAAGTGAGTATTTGCCCCCCGCAATGTCCCTGGATGGTACAGTTAACGCCCCTCAGCTACTAACCTAAAGGTTGGAGGTTCGAGTCCACCCAGAGGTATCTCAGAAGAAAGGCCTGGCAAGCTACTTCCAAACTATTAGTCATTGAAAACCTATGGAGCACAGTTCTATTCTGACACACATGGGGTCAACACAAGCAGGAATCAACTCAGTGGCAATGGTTGGTTGGATCAAAAAGTCTAGTGGGTAGTAAAAAGTTACGGCAATCCATTCAACATCAATTCCTTTGTTCTACAAATTAAATGAGGGTCACCTGGGCAGGGATCACACGGGATGAAAGAACTAGCTCCTTCAAATGAAATCTTACAGCTTTTAATGCATGTATTAGAAAAGCTAAAAACCAATGCTCTGAGCTTCTACCTCATAAGGGGGAAATCCTACATCACAACAAAAATCAATCCCAGATGGATTGCTGCTCTACGTGTAAAGGATACAACAATGTTGTTGCTATTGTTAGGTGCCATCAAATGGGTTCCGACTCACAGCAACTCTATGTATAACAGAACGAAATGCTGCCTGGTCCCTCAATGAGCTCACATTCGTGGCTATGTTTGAGCCCACTGATGCAGCCACTATGTCAGTTCATCTTGTTAAGGGTCTTCCTCTTTTTCGCCGGCCCTCTGCTTTACCAAGCATGATGTCGTTCTCCAGGGACTGATCTCTCCTGATAACATGGCTGAAGTACGTGAGACGAAGTCTTGCCATCCTTGCTTCTAAGGAGCATTCTGGCTGTACTTCTTCCAAGACAGATTTGTTCATTCTTCTGGCAGTCGATGGTATATTCAGTATTCTTCACCAACACCATAATTCAAAGGCATCAGTTCTTCTTCAGTCTTCCTTATTCACTGTCCAGCTTTCACATGCATATGACGCAACTGAAAACACCATGGCTTGGGTCAGGCGCACCTTAGTCCTCAAAGTGACACCTTTGCTTTCTAACACTTTGAAGAGATCTTTCGCAGCAGATTTTCTCAGTGCAACGCGTTGTGTGATTCCTTGGCTGCTGCTTCCATGGGCGTTGATTCTAGATCCAAGTAAAGTGAAATCCTTGACAACTTTTTTTTTTCTTTTATGGTTCATGCTTTTTCTGTGCTGTTTAAGAAATTTTTGCCTATTCTAACATCATATTCTCCCGCATTTTCTTTTAAAGCTTGTTTTATCAATAATAAGCTTTATAAGAAAAATATAGAATTATCTTTATGATCTTAGGACAGGCGAAGATTTCTTAAACAGTACAGAAAAAACATTAACCACAAAAGGAAAAAAGTCAAATTGGGCGACATAAAAACTAAGAACTTCTGTTTATCACAAGACTATTAAGAGTGTGAAAGAATAAACTACACAGTAGGAGAAGATACTTGTAAAATATATATCTGATAAGGAACTCCGAGCCGGATTATATTAACAACTTCTACAAAATCGGTAAGTAAAACAGACAACCCTGATATAGTACAATGGGCAAAAGACTTGAAAAAGCACTTCAAACATACTCAAATGACCAATGAACATATGAAACTGCATTAGTCATCAAGGAAATGTGTATCAAATTCACACACCCACCAGAGCTGGCAAAATAAAAACAGACAATACTGGGAGTTGACAAGGATGTGGGGCATTTCAACTCTCGTGCGCCAGAAGACAGGTACAGAAATGTTCTCATTAGCACGACTCATGACAGCTAAGCACTGGAAACAACCAAACGTCCGTCAACAGGGGAATGAGAGAGATGAACTGTGGCTCATCCACAGAGTACAATACTACACGAGGAGGACGTACACAAACTCCCTGAATCTCACAAGTGTACACAATGTACAATTCCATTCATATAACGTTCAGAACCAGGCAAAAGTAATCTGTGGAGTTAGAAATCAAGGCACTACCCTTGGAGGTGGACTGTGAATAGAAGGGGCACTTGGGGGCTTCCAGAATGTGGACGTTCCTTGGCCTGGGTGCTGGTTACATCTGTGTGACCACTTTATGACGTTTCATCCATCTGTACACTCATGATTTGTGCAATTTTTGGTATATATATTTTATATTTCAATAAAAAGTTCACTAAAAATCAAAATAACACACAAAAAATGTCAACATATATCTACTGACATGAAAAGTTTCTTCCTAAGATCAGAAGAGGTTATAAAACATGGAGTGTCGCCTGATCCCATGGCTATAAAACATAACACAATGAACAGAAGAAGCAGGATTGATACCAACGTTCACTTATGAAAAAATATTTATTGAGTGCCTACTGTATGCCAACACATAATCTGTCTGGAAGACTTCTACACAACTGTACTACCCCATGCAGAGTCGATCGCATGCACGCGCCAGCACCGGCTCTCACGCCGCGAGCCGCTCAGTATCCCCCCCACGCCACCAGCTCGGCTTTGCAGGAGCCCACCTCCCACCTGTTGAGCAGATGAACCGGCAGCAGTAAGGACACCATGAAACATACGATGCATGAACCGTTACTTTCACAGGAGTGAACAGTGGTTGATGTGACACGACCTGGGTGTTTCAGTTAGAACTGGACCGAGCTTAGGAACACTGGACCACTGAATTGCCCAGCGGTGGGCCCCACAGGTACCACGGGATGAACGCCTGGAAACACAGCCTACTTCTAACACAACAGACACTGGGGCAGTGACAGCGGTGAGGGCAGCTCCTGCTGGCCCCAAGCGCACTTTTCTGTGAAGGACCCTGACGATGTCACCAAGCCTGCAGGTCACAGTGTGTCACCGTCCGCCACACTGGGAGGAGAGTCAGTGCAGGGCGAAAGCCCGTGGACCTTCCCAGGATGAGGCATCAGCCTCCAGCAAAGCCTCCTTCACTCGCGTCTGTTCCCCCGAAACCTGCACACCGCCTCCCACGCAGAACCTCAGGTGTCATCTCCAGATTGGGAAGATTTTTTCTCCAACCTAAAGAAAAAAAAAAAAAAATCATTGAAATAATAAATTGTTTCAGTTCAATTTGCGCGCAGTACTTCCTAATGATAAGCTAATGTTGGACGAGAATGGTACGCAAGTCCCGCATGTTTAAAAATGACAAACATTTAAACTTTTAACATAAAATAATCACAAAGCATAACACAAAAAAGGAGTCAAAATAATGAAAGGAAGCCATGTGATCCCTTTCCTTCCTTCCCTGCAGGAATCCCGAGTACAAGGAAGAGAACTGCAGCTGTCACCAGCCTTTCCGCGACGGGAAAGGCTCCTCATGGCCGTCTGACGTGATATCCGATGAAATCCAGCCCCACCAGCCCCGAGGCCGCCCTCCACACATTTTCATGTGGGAAAGCAAAGGCTGGTCAAGCAATCAAACCTCTCCTCTAACGGAGTCAGAAAAGAAGATTCCATACTGCAGGTCCAGGTTAACGACGCCCGGAAAGCCGGTGACTCATGTCAAGGGGAAGCAATGCTTCTGTTCCTTCTTGCCCACTCCACCCCGGGTGCTCTGGATGTGGAGGAAGGGGCGGACCGTGTGGACTGGTCGGGGTCTCCGTCCCACTCACTGGCTGTGTCACCTGGGGAAATCACTTAACCCCCTGCGCCCTCACTTCCTATTCCGTAAAATGGGAAATGGGACAAACAGCAGCACTGACCAGCTGGTGTGAAGACGACAGAGAAGGAAGGAGAACAAGGAGGCGTGGCCCGGGACGGCCCTGGGAGCAGGAACAGCCGGCCATCACCCAGCTGTGGCCACACTCAGGCCTGTCTCCTAAGGACCAGCATCCCCAAGACGCGACTCTAAAACTGAACCCCAGAGCTCAGCGTTTCTCACCCTTTGCGACGTGGGGTCTTGTCCGGAAGTGACAGACCAGCTCAGGGTGACGGACATGTGCCTTCTCCACACGGGGTTCCTCTGCAGCACCACCGAGCCTGTGACCACATCTCCCGTGTGGACCGAGATGGGATCGTCCATCATAAACAAGGTCTGCTTCCAGTGGGTCATGCTGCAAGGCGGGTTTGTAAAGTCACGCCTGACGCGGCCTGGCCCTGCTTCCGCCCGCCCGGCCGTGTCCCTGACCCTGGCCCCCTGCAGACAGCCGGCAGGACTGCAGTATCCTCTGCTCTCATTCCCCCACCACCCTCTCTGGGAGCCTAGGACCCTGGAGCTCCACCGACAGGGCAAACACACTCCCTGCTCTATGCATTAAATGGTGTTGATGGGACACGCTGACATCAGCTCACAACTATGACTCCAGAGACACAACCAAGTAAGGACATCTTCTCTGGGAGCCCGAGGACTGCTCAGCCTGGAGGGCGCGGGGGCACAGGGTGGGCACGCAGGTCCCCTGGAGGCGGCCTGATCCCCGGGCCCTCACAGGGTCACCCCAGCGTGGTGCACATCCTGTCTCCCCCGGCAGAGCGGGGGCCCCCCTACAGCCTCTGCTCTCCAGGCCGCAGCGCCTGTTGCAGCTGTTCCAGTAAAGATGTGACACAAGCCGATGTGACCTGCAAAGCAACAGGTTACGTCTGTGGGAGGTAACTGCCAGCGAAGCAAGACAACCGTAAAAGTTTGGGGAAAACAGAAAAATCTAGGATTCTGAGCCCAAGCTGTACTGGGGATGTCAAGTTCTCACTTCGCTTTAAAAAAGGAATCCAAGGGAAGCAACAAGGGCCCCGGGGGCAAAACCGGGGGCCCGGAAGGAAAGCCCCCCCCAATTCCGCAAGAAACAAAAAAGCAACCGCAAAGCAAAGCCAACGGAACCGCAACGGTAAGACTTCCCGCAAAAGCAAATAAGAAAAAAAAAACCTCACAAGGCTTGTTAAACCAAACCAGTCAATCTAACAAGGCTCCTTAAACCAAACCAGCCACCATGGAGCTGAGTCGGGCTCATGCCAACACCACACGTGTCAGAGGAGAACTGCATCACGGGGTTTTCAGTGGCTGATCTTTCGGAAGGAAATCACTAGGCCTTTCTTCCGAGGTGCCTCTGGGTGGATTCGAACCCCTAACCTTTCAGTGAGCAGCTGAGCGCCTTCACTGTTTGGGCCACGCTGGGACTCGGGCTCGTAATGAGAAAAGGCTGGAAACAAGGATTTACAGGAACCCCAGCTGGAACTCGCGGGTCCTTCTTGGGCCTCCTGCAAGGCAGGCGGCCGGGCCTCCAGCCGGCGGAAACACGTCGAGAACCGGGCACATGCCGACGTGTTCCAAGTGAAAACACACGTCACTCCCTCCTCATGACAACTTCTAGCCTCTCCGGGGTCGCAAAGATGCTCTGGCAGCCCGAGGGGCCCACCCTCTCCCATCTGCCTGCTCTCCTTCGCCCGTGAGGGCAGGACTGGGCCCACGTCACAGCCCGTGAGCAGCTCCAGGCCCTGCCCTCCTCTGCGTGTTCTCAATCAGCCCGGGAACATCCTTCTCTCCAGACTTTCTCGCCAGCTCTCCAGCCACGCCCCTCCGCCACCTCCGGAGTCCCTTCCCCCGCCCTGAGCGTGTGCCCTGGGGTCAGGGTCCCCCTGCACATGGACAACCCCAGATCAGACACCTGTGAGGGTAACGGCCTAAACGCACAGCCATCTACCATCTGCTCTGCACCTGAATCTGTCTCCAAGGCTCCCGCCGTCCCTGTGCGGACAGCTTGAATCTGCAGGGGGTGCTCAGGAAGGCACCTGGTGGGGGGCTCAGCCCCTCCGTCGGCCACAGGGCAGCTCTGGGCAGACAGAGCCGGAGGGCACTCTATTTACAAAGGTCCTCCCATCCAAATCCTACGACGTGGCAAACCCACGACGCATCCTCTCTGGTGCCTCGGCCACTGTGACCTGACCACCACATGGAGGGAACCGCCGTCAGGAGCAGTATGGGAGGGGGGATGAAAGACCAGCAAGTGAGCAGCTGCAGGCGGTGAAGGGCAGCCCCACGGGCGAGCGGGGGGTGCCCACCTCAGCTCTCAGTACACCTGGCCTGGGCACTGCTAGATTTCCAGCACGCGCACAAGCTAACTCGGTCTCCATAAACCCCGAAACATAGCCTGGAGACAAAGTCTGTCCCAAGAAACATCTGCCTTCAAAAAAAAGGCTAACTACAAACTTCTAAAATTCCATTGGCTGTTTTTGTGTCAGGTCGTCAAAAGACGCAGAGCAGCAGACTGCAGATTCTAGGTAACTGCTCTTCCCGCAGCCCCAGCTCTGTGCATCAGCAGGGCCCAACACGGGCAGCAGAAGAGGGGACCCGGACCTCTCCCTCCACACAGAGACGGGGGTACAGAGGTCGGTGCACGCAGCACCTATGCGGCCTGACCTGGCCTCCCTGGGTCTGCCCCAGTGACCCGCCGCCACCCTGAAATCCTCAGGCGCACGGGTTACCCTAGGCTACAGAGTTTCTGAGACCAACTTTTAATCTGTACTAAGTCATTACTGTATCACTAAGGCCGTGCCTTTCATAATACCCGCTGGCACGTCGACAATTTGAAGGCACACACATGTGTCCGTTTCACACACACCCAGGGCCAGGCTCTGTTTGCACAACCGCCCTCGGTGGAAGGGCTGGGTTCGGCACGGTGTGGGGGCACTTACGGGTGGAATGGGCCGGTGCTCAGAACCAGCTGCGGTTTGTCTTCTTCCAGGTTCTGGAACCTAACACTGAACCAGGCTGTAAACCCATGGAGAGTACCAGCTTTTGTAATATCGAAGCGCAGTTCGCCTCTCATCGTCTGTTTTCAAGAAAATGGTAAGAAAATAAACATCAATTCTTGAAGCCCACGAAACACCCACCCAGTAACAGCACTCCCCGAGGGAGACGCTTCCTCTGGCTCTGCGAGAATTAGCCAACTATCATTATCGAGCGTCTTCTTTCGCTTATTGAACATTTTACAAGGCTTACAACATGGTCCTTGAACCAAACAGCTGCATCACCTAATTTAGTAATCAGGAAATACAACTCCAACAGGCTAGCTTAGCTGAACACATCAAAAATCATGTAAAATTCTCTCCTAAGGAAAGTGAACAGTAAAACTTAACATTGTAAATTCAAATGCTGCAGATAATCAGAAAAGGGTCTGTTATGGACTGAACTGTAACCCCTAAAAATAATGTACTGTAAATCCTAACCTCTGTGTCCATGGTTATAAGCCCATTTGGGAATGGGTTTTCTTTGTTGTGTTAAC